GTAATGAGAAATGTTAAGGAAGAACGCCCGCTCTTTATATCAGTACATTCATTATTAACGGAAATTAACGGAAATATTATTTCGTACTTATACTGATACGTTTATTCGGGTAAAGGCAAAAGTTACTGTATAATTTGTTTACGCTGTATTTCAAATTTTCATCTGATTAAGTTTAATTGCACAAATAATCTGGTCATTATTTTATTGATAACACTAATAAAGAACTTTAATGATAAGGTTCCGCTCTACTTTTTATGTATTGGCTTATAAAACAATATTGATTAGGAAATAAAAAAAATCAGAAATAGGGTAAAAAACGGTTTCTGTCAACAGTTTCTGACAGCTCCTCGCCGGTTCCTCGCATATTTTACATTTACAAATTTCGGGAACAGTCTAATTCCCCATATTTAATTCTTACATCTTATTTATAATGTGTATGAACATAATTTTTTTGGAATGGAATTCAATTTTCTGTCCGATGGTGTTTATTTCATCACAATCTAGGAAATATATTGTTTAATATAGACCTTTTATAGTCGTTTTCATACGTTCCTGGTAGATAAAGATTGTGTATCGATCTAGGCGTATCTGTTTGAACGACAAGCTGTACATAATCAATAGGTAGCTTCCAGTCACCAGAAAACATACACAATCTGGCCAATGATTAGCAAATTCCCCAATTAAGTTTAGAAAAATAAACAGATTTAAAAACGTTGAAATCAGTTTGAATAATATGTTCATTTATCAAATTTTCAAGAATACATGACAGATAAACATATATCATTTGTTTTCTTTTGTCACAATCCCTTTCTGTCTTCTTGTTTTTACATTTTGAAATTCGTACTAGTTATTTGTTCTATGTAATGTATAAATCCCATTTAACTTAAATGCACATGTCACGTGAACATTGTTTAAAGACACAATTACACTTACCTATTTTGTAGGTGTGATTACCGCAGAATACTGCTCATTCTTAACCTATTGTGATGACGGATACTACTGTTGTGAAAACAATACTAAATGTTGGTAAGAAAAAAAAGATATTTATTTATTTCAATGTTTTATCTTTTAATTCCATCAGTCATACAGTGCATTGTACTTTGATGCGTAAAACACATGTACATTGTACATACAATAGTATACAGACGACATACATGTATATACACATCAATTTCCAATTTGCCACTTTATAAAATATGATATATATTCCTAAATTCAAAATTTCACCATAACCATGATTAATGATTAACTGTTAAATTCCGCTTAAGTCGGTGGTAGGGGCGTGGATGTGAGTTTGCACTTGACAGTACCGTCCTTGAACAAGCTCCTGCAACATTTTCACTTTTGACGTTTTGTGCGTTTTTAGGGACTCTTTATTTTCTCTCTATTCTAAATATTCCAATCAAGCTCTTTTATTCAATTATCAGTTTCTATTTAAAGTTATGTCAAAGTTCGATTAATAAGTATCGGTTGATCAGGATTTTTAACATTGACCAAGATCTCGGTGTCTACTTACATGCAAAGTGTTTTATAATTTAATTCACCATCTTATGTATTTCTTACTCAAAATATCGCAATATCTGAATAATTACTATAATTATTTATAATGTATTGTAATATAAATATATATTCTATCTTGACTGTCACTAAATTTCAGGTTACCTAATTTCAGTTTTAAAGTCAATGTTTCAACGAAACAGTAAGTTGGCTGACTGGAGAGAAGCATAATATTAGGATAAACTACATGATCAATATGCTATTTCTATTTGTGATTAGACCATTATGATACAGATGAAAGACACCTTAACATAATACAACATACGACATAAAAATCAATTATATAAATACAACAACTGTATAACACGCTAAGTGACAATGCATATTTACATTAAAACTTTACATGATGATTTATTACATGCTTTTCGGTGGTTTATAGAAATATATCAGTGATATAAAACTGGTTATTTCACTGTTTGATACAGTGAAATTACCACTTTGATAATTTCACTGTTTTGAATTTAAGCCCCTTACGTTGTTTCAGTGAAATACCAGCGTGCACAGTACTGGGTACCAACTTAATGACGTTACGTCGTAAATGACGTCACGTTGTATTATCATTTGGCGCGCTTTTTATTCGGTATTAGGTTTAATGTCTTTTTAAAACGTTTCTTTGCATGTAATAAAAAGAAAATTTGTTTAGTTTAGTGTAAGATTGAAATATATTTCACCTTGTGAACACCAAAAGTTCATATTTCACTCGTGGCTGCGCCACTCATGAAATATACCTTTTGGTGCTCACTCGGTGAAATATATTCCGATCTTAAACTGAACTAAACAAATATCCTCTATGTATTTGTAAAATTTATACTTTATTAAACTATTACCATATAATATTTCGTTACGTTTTATAACCTCAGTGTGTATGAATGTTCCAAGCTTTCTTTCTTTCGTCTGGTTTTCATTATTCATTAAGTCTACACAAAATCAAAAGCTTGTACATAAACATCCAAAGTGCGTTACTGGACTGCAAGTATTAGTAACTCGCACTCCAGAACATACCCATTGATTGGCTCATTTTTTCTGTGGTTAACTTATTTTGACGGCAGCGAAAGGGATAACGATAGAAATATCATATTCAGATGCTCCTTCATTGATTACTTTTTTCTAGTGTTTCATCTTGAGACAACAGGAAACGTGTTTTTATATTTGCATAATATACAGAGGAGAAAGAACATCAAACCACTCGGCAATCTGATTTATTCTCGGGAGGCTACGCCCCTCTTACAAATCAGAAAGACTCGTGTTGCGATACTCTTTCTAAAAATAAAGCTTTCCTCAATGTCAAGCACCATTGAGTTTCATCTTGTTTGGTCATGTTCATGTAACGGATCATCCCATTCCATGTGTTTGTTCCACAATTCTCGTGAGTTTTCAACGTAAAATTATAGGGCAGACTTGTCCTAACGGGTAGAAAAAGGAAGCAATTTATTTCAACACAAAACGTTTTGTCATGGGCTGTATAACAGGGAATAAGGATACCTTAAATGATTAAGTATCTTTCTTCGTATTCCATTCATGGCCTAGACTTGGTGGCTAGGTGTATCGGGAGCTGCGTCCTATGAACGTTGCCTTTGCTTTGTTGATCTTTATTCTCGTTTTATTTTTCTAGAACTGGCATCGTCTCAATGTCTGCGCTATCATGTGTTGTGACGTATCGTTTGCAGCTTCATTGTTGGAAATCCTTCGATCACTCATTAAATATTGTTTTTGCTTCTTTGCATAATACTCGCCTGTGTTTCGGTGTTTGTGCCAGTTAAGATTGTCTACATAAATGTCAGTCTTGATTTTCTTGGCAATGTCGTTGTTATATGTTTTTTAATGTTATTCTTTAGTTGCTCCTAGCAAAAATGTGCTGGAGATCACACCATATCCTTTAACCAAATGAATTTCATAACGTCGCGTTGATCATTTTGAAGACCAATTTGTAAGAAAGCTTTTTTAATATCTGCAACCAAAACGATTCGATGCATCCTAAATCTCAACAACATGCCATATAAATCATGCAACATAACTGGGCCCCTATTTGGACATTCATTTAAGCTTTTGTTGTCTTTCCTTGTTCTTGCAGAACCATCGTAAACTATACGCAGTTTAGTTGTAGTTGTCTGTGTGTTGTGACTGTGTAATGCGGAATATAATTAATCATTCCATCCGTTTAGTTTCCCTCTACCTTTTCAATTACGCCTTTTTTAACTGTTAACTTATTACATCGTCGTACTTCTGCAAAATATCTCTTTTGTCTTTCATGCGATTTATTGATTATAATTATCGGCCAAATGCAAGTTATTTGATTGTAGGTAGTTATCGCTCGTCTTCTTTGCAGGAACAAAATACAAAATAACCGTCATTCTCAAATGCCAATGTATCTCTAAACTGGTATCATCCGTTTGGATATTTTTGTCAACAATTTCAATTGATTCAACTTTTCAAAAATCTTTCAAATGAATTGCTTTTGGATTTGAGGCATTTTTTTTTAATAATAGAAAATGCATTTGATTCGTAAAATATACTGCCATATGTAAGGACAAACATATTTGACTCGTTTGTTCAGTTTGTTGCGTCCTTAATCCTGCCACTTAACATTCATCCTAACTTAAGTAAATACAACCTTGGTTGGATTTCAATTTTCTCTCTATTTGCAAAATCTAGAAAATAGTTATTCCCTATTAAAATTTCGATAGGTGAATTTTCATTTTCTCTCAGACCTTTTGCTTCCTTTTTAAAATCGTAATCGGTAAGCTTAATAGGTAATGTGTTAATTGATTTGGACTATCGGGCGATCCGGGCTCGAAAGTGAAGACGTCTAGAACTGGTAAATCGATTAATTGTCTGTCCAAGAACCATGCGGTGGCTGAACTGTGCTCTGGTGAATTCAAAGTGGCTTACTGCCGTGACCCGGAAGATAAACTACCAACACAAACATACCTTAATTAACGTTGAAGTATATCATACATATTCCACTTAACAAGTGCAGATAGACCATTGATTTTACATGAAAATTGAAAAAGGAAACGCATTTGTTCTCCACACCAAAAGACCCCCCCCCCCCCAAAAAAAAAAAAACAAGAAAAAAAAAAAAAAAAACAAACAAAAAAAAAAACCCCGCTAAAACCATGGCAGAAATTATTGAGCTCATTCCCATAAATATTTAGCTTGTTATTTTACGACCGGTTTTGTCCGACCAACAAGAAAAAAATGCGTGTGTCATACATAAGGATTGATTTTCTCAACATCTAGAAAATTCTAGTTAGATCAATGCTCCACTTTCATCATAGTGTTGCTTTTTCTAAACAACATAATATGAAAGAAGGAAACGATACTATATTGTTAAAAAGAAATAAAAACAAAAAGTGAACCAGTTTTTACATAGTCCTGGCCTTGAACGGTTTCTATATTTTCAAAAACAGAAAATGTCAATCGATAACCCATAGTTACTAGCAATCAATTTCATATTAAATACACAGTATTGATTCTCTTAATAAAGTATTAGGATATGTCATTCATAATAGAATATTTGATTAATAGAAACATGGACGCTACTTTGAAGTCAATAATATCGTGCTTTTTCTTGATAGCAGAATTTGTTCCAGGTAAGTTTGTATTGTTTTCTTGTTGAATTAAAATGAGGTAATCATAATTTCCAATTCTTTATAGCTATGTCCATTGACCTAATTGATATTCATTCATAATGATGACGATATTTGAAGCACTGAAGAATAAGTCAAAGATATGTTATTTTAAGTTTAGGCCATGCCAGGATAGAAAATCGATAATAAGGAGACAAAAAATTTAACCAATGCTTATTTGATACTTAAATACTTTATTCTTGTTTAAATAATTAAGAGAAACGAAACGGCAGTAATCGACAGTTGTATTATTTATGAGTTGTTTTTGTATATGTTACAAGGTAAGTATTTTGAACTTTAATCCTGTAAAAATGGAATTTTTAGAAAATGAAAAGTGAATAAATTCCACTCAAATCTTTAAGTACATGAAGTAATGTATGTAACTTACTGAACCGGCAGGATAAAAGATAACAATATTCCAAAATGCAGGAACCGGAGCGTAAAAAAGCGTAACATTGACTTGAATCAGATAATATATTATAGTTAAAAGAATATACAACACCCCGCCCGACTCAGTAACAGTGTGCATGGCTGAAAGGTTGTAAAGTACTACTACAGTGTATGTTACCATATTATATGTTTTTATTTTTGCTTTGTTATTTTTTATGCTAAATTAATGAATATAAGTATATTTATTGTGAAAGATTCTTGACAATTATATAGGTAATGAGAAATGTTAAGGAAGAACGCCCGCTCTTTATATCAGTACATTCATTATTAACGGAAATTAACGGAAATATTATTTCGTACTTATACTGATACGTTTATTCGGGTAAAGGCAAAAGTTACTGTATAATTTGTTTACGCTGTATTTCAAATTTTCATCTGATTAAGTTTAATTGCACAAATAATCTGGTCATTATTTTATTGATAACACTAATAAAGAACTTTAATGATAAGGTTCCGCTCTACTTTTTATGTATTGGCTTATAAAACAATATTGATTAGGAAATAAAAAAAATCAGAAATAGGGTAAAAACGGTTTCTGTCAACAGTTTCTGACAGCTCCTCGCCGGTTCCTCGCATATTTTACATTTACAAATTTCGGGAACAGTCTAATTCCCCATATTTAATTCTTACATCTTATTTATAATGTGTATGAACATAATTTTTTTGGAATGGAATTCAATTTTCTGTCCGATGGTGTTTATTTCATCACAATCTAGGAAATATTTTGTTTAATGTAGACCTTTTATAGTTGTTTTTATACGTTCCTGGTAAATAAAGATTGTGTATCGATCTAGGCGTATCGGTTTTACATTATCAATAGGGCGCTTCAAGTCCCTAGAAAAAATCCACAATCTAGCCAGTCATTAGCAAATTCTCTAATTAAGTTTAGAAAAATAAATGAAAATGAACTGATTAAAATACTTTAAAATCAGTTTGAATAATATATTCATTTATCAAATTTTCAAGAATACATGACATATAAACATATATCATTTGTTCTCTTTTGTCACAATCCCTTTCTGTCTTCTAGTTTTTGCATTTAGAAATCCTTACTAGTTATTTGTTCTGTATCCATGTATATATCTAACAAAACTTAAATGCACATGCCACGTGAACATTGTTTAAAGAAACAATTACATTTACCTATTTTCTAGGTGTGATTACCGCAGAATATTGCTCATTCTTAACCTATTGTGATGACGGATACTACTGTTGTGAAAACAATACTAAATGTTGGTAAGAAAAAAAGGATATTTATTTATTTCAATGTTTTATCTTTTAATTCCATCAGTCATACAGTGCATTGTCCTTTGATGCGTAAAACACATGTACATTGTACATACAATAGTATACAGACGACATACATGTATATTCACATCAATTTCCTATTTGCCACTTTATAAAATATAATATATGTTTCTAAATTCAAACTTTCATCATAACCATGATTAATGACTAACTGTTGAATTCCGCTTAAGTCGGTGGTAGGGGTGTGGACGTGAGTTTGCACTTGACAGTACCGTCCTTGAACAAGCTCAATCAAACCGAGTCTGCAACATTTTCACTTTTGACGCTTTGTGCGTTTTTTAGGAATTATTTAATTGCTCTCTATTCTACATATTCCAATCAAGCTCTTTCAATCAATTATCAGTTTCTATTTAAAGCTATGTCAAAGTTCGATTTATAAGTATCGGTTGATCAGGATTTTTAACATTGACTAAGATCTTGGAGTCTTCTTACATGCAATTCTCCATATTATGCATTTCTTACTCAAAATATTGCAATATCCGAATAATTACTATAATTATTTATAATGTATTGTAATATAAATATATATTCCATCTTGACTGTCACAGAATAAAGTATTTTTGTTTTTCAATTTTCATTTATCAGTCATCCAGCATATCTCCAAAAGGGCGCGCATGCAAACGCCCGAAAAACACAGATGTTGAGCTCTTAGTGCCTCGGGTAATTTTGAAATAACTTTTGGCCGTATACTTTCATATTGTATTGAACTGTATATTTGATGTTTGTTTATACAAATTTTATATGAAAACTATCATATTATTATCCAATTTTCTTTTTTCTACTTTTTAGCTCTGAGAATGTATTGACAGTTGGAGCAATAATTGGTATAGTTATAGGCTGTATCATCTTCATCAGTTGTGTCGTTGCTGTAATATGCTGCTTAACTAAACAAAGTCATCGAAAGGGACAAGTAGTACAACCAGTACAACCAGCTGGTATGTGTCATATTGAAAAACCACACGTTATCATATCATCATTGGCTATGTCGATGGCAACATTAATTCATTCTTTTTACTCTTTTAAATTAATAAGATCTGAGTATAAGTGTTTACAGTATAAAGATCTTAAAAAAGTGGTCCATCGGAAGCATTAATCACAACGAATTACATGTGCATGAAAACTGCAGGAGTCTGTAAATGAGGGATAATGAATAACTGCAAAATCCCTGACGCATCCTAGCACCGGCTTTAGCGGTATTCTATTTATTTTCAACACTTAAAAGTGCTAGAATCAATAATCACGAAGGACCAGAAAAATATAAAAACACGCAAGTGTTCGGGGCAACTTTTTTCAGCTGCCAAAGAAGTTAATGTACCTCATTATGCTGATGAAGATTAAAGTTTATTTTCATATACAATGTAGTAATACCAAGTAGATCATGTGACAAATTGTTTTGCTTTCTTTTCTATTTTGGCTAGAAGATATAAATCAATGTGGCGTTTGGTAATTGGCTCATAGGTTTAACTATATGTTTATGTGTTGATTGTATAATAACTTTGGTATAGATCAAGCTACATGTGACAATTTAAATGTCAGTGTTAGACAAGCTTCATGATTACGTACCTTTGTAAGCAAGTTAAGCTGTATGTGCCATTCGGCAAGAAGGTGTAGTTTAGTGTACCTTTTACTTGCATATACGAGTAATTTGTAGATGTCGAATTTTATATGATGACAGACTAGTGAGTGCTATTTAGTACCGCTGGCTTTGTTTAGTACACCTGGTTTTAAATGGTCCTTAAAGATAGTTCAGCACGACATTATTTTTGTGGTATTTTTATTTCTAACTTTTTGGCTTTTTCTTGTTGGGTGGTTCCAATATTCCTACTTGAATAATGTTGAATCATATTTAGGATACGTTGCCTGCTTTTTAACTTTGTCTTTTTAACGTCTTGTCTGTGATATGTATGCTCAATTACCTCAGATCCCCTCTCAAATTCCATTTCGTCTAGTTCCGCTAATTGTTTTCTTGTTTATGGTACACGCTATCTATTACTTTGGGACCATCCACCGCTTTTCATGGAATGGCACGAAAGTGTCACATTCAAGGTTCCATGATAACCACCGTGTGCGATTGTTTCTTAATTCAAAAGTTCACCATTTTCAATTTTAAATGTTGAATTCTGCTAAAGCCGCTGCTAGAGGTGTATGGATGGTAGTTTGCACTTGACAGTATCCATGAATCAATAAAACCGAGCAATTTTGTTGTTTTGAACTTTCTCTAAGGAATCTTATTTTCTCCTTTTCTTGATACGCATGTCAATCGGTAAACGCCATTTGGAATGAGGATTTTGTTCAATGTCTTTTTGTGCGAAGGGTTTGATTCATATTTAGTGTACATAATGAATAACATTTATCAATAATGATTTGTAATCATACATGACTTACTATATTTGAAGGGGTTTATTGTTATAATCATGACATGTATACAATTTCATGTCAGAATAAATACATGTATTTTACAGTTTCTGATATATAGATAAATGTAACATTTTATCAAATGTTAGTTTTAAAAAAATATCAATGGTATAGTAATTTTACGAACGATTACAAATATTAGAAATTTAGATGAAAAATATAGGTGTTCTTTTAATTTTAATTTTCAATATTTTAATTAGGTGTAGCGATCATAACAACTGGACAAGGTCCCCCTGGTTACAGCCAACCTGGCTATGGCCAACCACAAATGTATGGACAACAGCCAATGTATGGTCAACCTCAAATGTATGGGCAACATCCAATGTATGGTCAACCTCAAATGTATGGACAACAATCATTTGCACAGCAACAATTTGGTAGCCAGCAACCAACATTCGATGAAAAAGCGGGCACCAGTGATCCTGCCTATCCCCCACCACCACCAAATTACTAGTCCTGAAACGACGATAATCTTTATTTACTACGATACTCGTATGCACATTTTACCAAAGTACATACTCCTTAACTTAATTCATCTAAAACAGTTATAGTACCGTATATTATTGTTTCCACAGTTTTGAATATCATGACTTATGTTCATCGATTTGTTAACATATATAATGGTATCTTCCTTTACTTGTTTATGCCATACTCAGGTATGTTTAATGATATATTTCAATGGACACTTTTTTAAAATCAGAATCAAATGATAATGTCAATAGCCAAATCAATATTTTTGAGACAAAAACAATAGTAATAATAGTATAATTTTTAACATAATTCTTGCATACAAACCTACATTAAATCAAAACTCCATAAAATCACGTTTGTCATCTCTATGCAAACTGGGATAATTTATTTACTCAATAAAATTTGAATCTTGAGTGCATAATTTATTACACATTTCAATCCAGATATACTCGTACTCCATGACACTTAAGTCACCCATATAATACTTGCGGTGTTCTGGCCCGGCTTTCACTAACGTTCTCAAAGTCAAAATCTCAGCTCAAATCTGAGATTTTTCTCAAATTAGAAATTGAGATTGAGATTTTTCTCAGTTTAGCTTTTACTGAAAAATATTGAGAACAATCTCAACTTAATATTTGAGATTTTTCTCAGATATATTGAGACAAGGGTTGGCTGTCTCAGATTATGTCTCAATGAAACTAAATTTTTATTCTCAGTGGTCATCGAAACTCCAAAGCATTCTGACAGTCTTACAGGCTGATACAAATTAAAAAAAGTGCTGGTAACCCTTTATGATCAACGGAAGGCTTAAAGGTGCAATTCCATAGGCTATTAAACACAGGCACCTAAAAGGTGTTCCTCATACAGAACTTCGGTACTTGTTTGGCCTGTAAAAAGACTAAAAAATGAGATAACGAAACATTGTTATCATCGCAGCATGTTATTTTAAAACTTTGATTCAAATTGCTACAATAACTTTAACTGTGTCAAAATGTATGAAACTAAAAATGAATGCATGTAAAAAACATAATCATAATTCTCAACGGAAACATATAGTTCATGTGGAGAAAATTAATTGTAATTATAACAGTTTATGAGTAATGGACATTTGGTCAGCGATAATATAACGCTGCACATATGATAATGCTTTAGAAATATCGTGGCGAAAAGTATGTCTGTCTCTTCATATAACAAATGAAATTCAACTTTCTCTCGAACATACTTCTTACATTTCTTACCCGTGATGAATGTGACCCTCAGACTATTCCTAAAACATTCAAGATCAGACATTTTCAAACATCCAAACTTATATTTTTGAGTGACTTTATTTCTCATTTCTTCATCACTACCTTCATCTCAGAGAAATTAGGAAAAATACTTTCCACAAAGTCCGTCATTTTCGTTAAAGTGGGTTTGGTATATGCATATATAGCAAGTGCCAAAGATTTTGTAACTTATTACAAGTTTTCCAGTAGGCTAGATCATATTATTTTATCAGTAAGCGAAAATTATCTTTATTTTATGACTTTTTGCAATTTAGATTTACTATTTGGTTCAAATCTGCTGAAAACTTACCCTAAAGAGAAAATGTGTCATTATGTCAATGGACATTTTACATTATTGTTACCTTTAAGTGAACCGAATGAAACCAGTACCTAAAATATCAGCACATAATTGTAGAACCGTCTTTCTAAAACAAACATAAGAACTACATGTTTTACTTAAGGCATTCTGTGGAAGCAAAGCGTGAAGTGAATTAAAAAAAATATATATAAATAGATATTGTGCATATTGAATAAAGAGATGCGTGCTTTTTACGAGTATGTGACTAGTTTTTATCATAACTGATTTCAATTAAACACAGACACGTGTCAAATGGTTCCAATCGTTTGAGTTTATTGATAAAAATCCTTATTCTATTTTATGCTAAATGCAATGTATAATGTCGTTTATATTTGTTGATCTGAAAAATTCATTTTATATTAAAAAGGCTGCAGCATGAGATCGTTTATAATATTTTTTTCTATCTCAGGGAAGCCGTGTTGTTTGAAAATCAATTGTTAAATAAACAAAACACACCAGGATGGCAAACTTTGGATCATTTCATTGACTGATATTTACCAGTAAACAATAATAATGTGTGGAAAATAACGAAAGACCGGTGGGGACATTTTAACTTTGTGAATTCCCGAGTTCATCTTTGTAAATGCACAATTAAAACTTCTTGAATTCACGTTTTAACATACAGAATATTCACGATTTCAGGTTCATGAATTCACAATTTTACTTCATGGATTAACAATTTTAACTTCATGAAATCACGATTGCAACTTCACGAATTTACGATTTCGACTTCAGAAATTCACAAATTCGACTTTTTACGATTTCAAATAATAAAATTTGAAAAATTGAAAATGGTAACGCATTTGTTCTATGTCGACAACAAAACGCAGAATATGGAAAAACCATGACAGAATAATATTCAGCTCATCCTCATATATATTATGCTAAAAGTCTCACTATATTTAACCGATTTTGTCCAAAAACAAGAAAAAATTGGTCTGGAGTGATTCTCTCAACATTCAGAAAATGTTAGTGAGAGCAATTCTCCATTTACACCACACTGTTGTTTTTTTCTAAACAAGATAATATGAAAGATGAAAACAAAACTATATTGTAAATAAGAAATAAAAATAAAAATAAAATAAAATAACGAGTTTATATATAGGCCTTAGACGGTTTCTTTATTTAAAGAAAAGAGAATGTAAATCGATATCCCAGAGTTACCAGCAATCAATTTCATATAAAATACATATCATTGATTCTCTTTATAAAGTATAAGGATATTTCATTTATAAAAGAATATTTAATTTCAAGAACTTGTGCATGAAACATGGACGCTACTTTGAAAAAGTCAGTATTATCGTGCCTTTTCCTGATAGCACATTTTGTTCCCGGTAAGTTTGTATTTCTTACTTATCAAATAAACAGGAGGGCATCATAATTTCCAATTCTTTATAGTTATGTTTATTGACCAAATATTCATTCATATTATGGCAGTGAAGAAAAAGCCAAAGATATGATATTTTATAACATGATTATGAATTATGACCATGATACGGAGACAATAAATTTAACCAATGCTTTTTTGATACTTAAATACTTTATTCTTGTTTAACGAAACGGCAGTACTCGACAGTTTTATTATTTCTGAATTGTATTTTTATATGCTACAGGGGAAGTGTTGTGAACTTTAATCCTGTAAAAATTAATTTCTAGTTAATAGGAAGTGAATAAATTTTCACCCGAAAGTTCATTTTCTAAATCAAAACGATATATGTAACTTTCTGAACCGACATGTTAAACGATAACATTATTCCAATACACAGGCTTTGACTGAAAACAAAATGTTATTAGTAAAGTAAAAAATTATATACAACATACCAACCCGCCCCAGTAAACGTCTGTTGAAAGTTGCCAAAAACTTTTACTTTTGTATGTTACCATGTATGTTTTTCTTTTTAAATTATTACACCAATTTCCTTAAAATACGAATATAAGAATATTGTTTATTATATCAGTGACAATTATATAGGTAATGAGGAATGTTTAAAATGTTTATTGAGAACGCCCGCTCTTTTTATCAGTACATTACCGATTCATTTGAAGGAAATATTATTTTGAACTTTTAGCAATGAGCTTCTTCATGGAATAACAAAAGTTACTGAATAAGACAGGGGGAATGAACTTTGGTTCTACACGGCCAAAAATACCTCGGCTGAGTGTCGAGGTTGACGATGACGCCTAGTTACACTCTATATTACCCGTTTTTACCTATCTAATTTTGTGCACAATGTTTGAGCTATAGATATATAGCAATGACATTGTTAATACATTTAAAAAATTATATCAAATACCCCAGGACCACAGTCATATGACCCAATAGTAATTAAAGAAATGCGACAATTTATATTAAATTGATTGTTACAATGCAATAATTTTATCGACATTTTGCTCACGGTTTGTTTGAATTTAAAATATTGATCACAATGTAAATTATTGAAATGTATGGCACTTGAACATTTTTGTTGATTACCAGACATGCAAATTACCAGACATGGTTGGCAAACATTTGCAGTGAAACAACAATGGCAGACAAAACAATGTGAATACAAAAATACATAACACGTCTATAAAGCCAACACATGTATTAAATGACAGTGGCTATAACATGTCGCTTTTTACATAACAAGTGCAAGTAGATATATCGTTAATAGAACGTTCGTGATGTGGTACCTGATATAACTTTTTGAATGTTTAAACAATGTCATTGATTTATTTCTATAGCTCAAACATTGCGCACAAAATTAGATAGATAGAAACAGGTAATATAAAATTGTTTAAATTTCGGCGTCATCGTCAACCCCGGACACTTGTTGCTTCGGAAGGCACTAGCTTGCTTGAGCAAGAGACGCTACTCCTGGCTGTTTGCATTATTAAATGACTATATTACGACATATATATTAATACAGTATTAAATATAAAAACCTTGTTTAGAATGTGTCTGTTTCAGCAAATCATCAACCACTCTGAATAACCGGAAATATTTTCTCCTAAAATGCAAAAGAACAAATGAATGACATTCAAAAAGTTAAATATTGTTCATGCTTATTTGCGATGAAATGAATGAACTCGAAAACTTAGTCCTTTGTATAAACAAGACATTATTGATACACAGTTTGAGAGGGCAATCTAAATAGAAAGTCAAATTTTTGTTGGAAAAAGCCACCTACTCCGAAGATGCAGTCATATGTTCGCTAAATTGTGAGTGTATACGTTGACAGTTTCTTTACTGTACGTGTACGTTGACATTTCTGTAAGTTGGACCATTTTAAAATAAACTCGACAAAACGACAGCAGGAAACCCGTTCTTTATGTATTCAAACATTCTCTTATACGCGAAATTTTACTTTACAATAACATGCGTATCGTTTATAAAATTATTATCAATAATTTTACACAATAGTGTATATGTTGTCATCGACAAATTTGTAAATATTGTTTGAATGTTCTCAGAAAATACAAAACGTTAGACGACACCAAATGCATATTCAGAAAGCGTCGGAAATGCCGCGGTCGGTAGGCTATGTAGCATTATATACCAGTAAATCGGCTCATAGAAAAATTATGGAGGGTGATTTATGCCAAAATTACATCTTGCTTTCTTACGTTACATCGTGCTTTCTAACTTGTACATCGTGCTTTCTAACTTGTACATTATGCATTCTGACATATACATCTTGCATTCTGACTTTTACATCTTGCTTTCTTACATGCACATTATGCTTTCTGCTGTGTGCGACTTGCTTACTTTTATGTTGATGTCGTTTTTTAACGATCAATTATTATTCTTTTGTTGATCTGGTATATTAATTCAATAAATTAACCTGTAACTGTTTGTATTTGGGTCTTTTTACTCAGCTTGAATGACGAATGTCATAAGGTAGAATGCGCATAGCCGAAAGCCGAATGCAGCAAGCATAATACAACGCGACATCTGGTGTAATAATATGTGACACCCAAATTATGCTAACAGGTGGCGCTACAGTTATATTCTCGGTAAAGTCCGAATTGCGGTTCGGAATCAGTTTACCAAGTTACGTCCCTTTGTTTTAAAATTTCCATTTGCATTCATGGAAACGATTTAACCAATTTTTATATTTATTAATGAAACTCTGTAGGTCAAATTATATTTCCAGCTGACAATGACAAGTTGCACATTTCCAAATCAATGGTTTTAGAATTTATTTTTTTCATCAACAAAATAATTATAAAATAGAACAGTTGTTTAAAACATTGTTCAAAGTGCTTGGGCCCTAAAAAACTTCTTATTAAAATATTTCATCCTCTTGAAAAGTTCTTAAATTTTGACATGGCTTATTTCCAATACCTGTGACCATCCACAACATTTTTAATGTGTTTTAGGACATTTTCTTGCCTTTTTTCAAACTAATTTTGTACACACGTTAGATTTTTTAAATTCAACTTGTCAAAAAATGTCTTTTTTTCCCACTAAGTTGCTTTATGAATACGGCCCAGGTTCTTGTTCACAGTGTCAGCTTAAAACTGAAGGAATTGCTGCCAAAATCAGCTGATTCTGAGAAAAAAAAAATGTCAAAACTGTCTAGTCTGTCAGACTTAAGACAGTTTTGCCTTTTTTTTTCTTTTGCGGCGGCACTGGCTACCTCTCTTCATTTGAATTTTTATGTCACAGGTACCCTCTCATTTTTTAACACATACGTACCCACGAGGCACGACATATGCTTTTATTTGCGTTAATCGTTAAGTATGTAATATTTACATAAAAGTAAGAAATATTACATACCTATTTAACGATTAACGCAAATATTATAAAAGCATATGTTGTGCCATGAGGGTACGCTGCAAAACCGAAAGTAGGGTGTTTTTATGAATTTTACATTTATTTTTGACAATATACTGCCATTTGTCCGAAGATGATATGTAAATGAACATATTAAAATATGTATGATGCATATATAATCAAGCCCACGGTTCATTGCAGCCCGAAAAGTATGTCGAGGTGATGGGCGAGGCAAGACATGTCGATTTTTTGTAGCTTATTGTGAAGTTGCAGTACATGAAAAACGGGCACATGACAAATCAGCACATAAATAAAACATTCTAGTTTCCGTGGTATATATCTTTTGTACGTGTCAAACCCCCTTTCCCTTATTACATTGAAATTTTACTGGATTTTTATCCATCGCTGGTTTGTTTTTAGCAGAGAATTACCTGTGCATATGTAAAGAGGGTACCGTTTGAGCAGATTTCGCAGGGTACCGGTATAGATATGCACCGTGGTGTAGCTTTAGTACGAATGATTTCATAATATTAATTGATGAGTACATAAAAACAAAATGTACAAAAATGGTCCCAAGAAATGGTTATAAAATGAATATTGCATGTTTGGC